ACCAGGTTGCAGGCACTGGTTACAGTTTTACAGTTTTTCTTGAGTGATGAGAGCCAGTCAATATTTAAATCACCCAAAAAATATACTTCTCTGTTGATATCACAAACATTATCAAGCATTTCACACGTTATCCAGATACTGACTGTTAGCACTTGGTGGTCTATAGCAGCTTCCCACCAGAATGGGCTTTAGGTGAGGCAGATGAACCTGTAGCCATATTACTTCAACAGTATTTAACATGAGATCGTCTCTAAGATTTACAGGAATGTGGTTCTGAATATAGACCGCAACACCTCCACCATTGGCATTTCTGTCTTTTCGGTGCATATTATAACCATGTATTGCTACCACTGTATCATCGAAGGTATTATCTAAGTGAGTTTCAGAGATAGTCAGAATATGAATGCCATCTGTTACAAGCAAGTTATTGACTTCATGAACCTTGTTTCTCAGGCTGCATATGTTAATGTGGGCTATTTTTAGCACTTTTCTGGGTTGCTTGATTGTTTTTAATGCTTTAGTTGGAAGCTTATCAGAAGTAGACTTGCTCATGTTATTTACATTGGAGCTGATAGTGCAGGGTGAGCTGCGCACAATGGACTTCCTACTAGGGCACACCGCCTCAGTGTTAACAGTGTAACTCTGGTTCATAGGCTCATGATTACTGCATACAATAGCTGTAGGATCAACAGAGGTGTTCAGGGCAATTAGGGGGACGTGCATTAAGTTACTTACATTGTGTCTGCCAACGCCCCTGGGATAATGTACATTTGATGCAGCATTATGACAACTCAGCGACACAATGGTAGGGATTAACTGAGCTGGTCTTGGGTCATTGATAAATCATTGTTTCAACGCAGCCTTGAGATGCGTGGACAGAGTCCAGGAGCCAAGATGATTTGGATGGACTCTGTCATTCCTATAGAGTATCTTCTGTTTCCAGAAGGTGTCAAAGTTATCTATAAAAATGATTCTAGCAAATTATTCCTGCTCAATCTTTCACACCCGCGGCCCAACGATGGTACTGGACCTGAAAGTTTACTTGGTACCAGGACTATAATGTTTTATCAGTAGTTTACTTGGTACCAGGACTATAATGTTTTATCAGCAGTTTACTTGGTAGCAGGACTATAATGTTTTATCAGTAGTTTACTTGGTACCAGGACTATAATGTTTTATCAGTAGTTTACTTGGTAGCAGGACTATAATGTTTTATCAGTAGTTTACTTGGTAGTAGGACTATAATGTTTTATCAGTAGTTTACTTGGTAGTAGGCCTATAATGTTTTTCTGTAGTATTTTTACGAAACACATTGTTGTCCACCTCTTTCCCCTTCAACCAACCTGTTAACCTTATATCTGAGCAGAGGAACGGACAGCTGATCTCTGGTTCTCTCTAAGGACCTAGTGTTTGAGGATGTAACGCTTCCCTAATGCTGCTGACCAAAATTCCCCAGCCACACACACAGCCTGGTTTCTGGCCCTTCTGCCATATCACATGACCAGCTTAAAACTGATACTTCCTGTCCCGTCCATCTAGAGGAGAAACTGACGGGATTAAATATTTAAATAATCCCGTCCCAAACCTGGGTCAAACACCACCATCCAATTATGAGGCTCTTTGAGCCTGAAACCCCTCATTATGGTTTTAGCCTTTAGGGTTGGGCTTGGGGCTTCTATGGGGACCAGGGTTGGGGTTGGGGCCACTGGGCTTGGGGCTTCTATGGGGACCAGGGTTGGGGTTGGGGCCACTGGGCTTGGGGCTTCTATGGGGACCAGGGTTGGGGTTGGGGCCACTGGGCTTGGGGCTTCTATGGGGACCAGGGTTGGGGTTGGGGCCACTGGGCTTGGGGCTTCTATGGGGACCAGGGTTGGGGTTGGGGCCACTGGGCTTGGGGCTTCTATGAGGACTAGTGTTGGGGTTGGGGCCACTGGGCTTGGGGCTTCTATGGGGACCAGGGTTGGGGCCACTGGGTTTGGGGCTTCTATGGGGACCAGGGTTGGGGCCACTGGGCTTGGGGATTCTATGGGGACCAGGGTTGGGGTTACCGTGGTTGGGGCCACCCTACCGGAGACGCTCCCACCATGGCCTGGGCCGATCCCTAGCCCTGGGGGTATGGAGGCCAGGTCGGGGGCCCAGAAGAAGGCATCAGGTATGAGAGGCCAACCAGGTTGCCAGGTGACTGATATTCATAAGGGCCCGGCCAGGTAAAATTCCCCTAAGGCAGAGGGCACTGGAGCGTATCAGGATGGAGATGGTAGGCCTCTGACAACTGACTAGATGGAAACTACCTACTACCACTTAATGGAAGTTTAACAGGGGAACATGTTATGAACGGGAAGTATGTCATGACTGCTGTATTTGCATGATTGGGACATCTTAGTAATAAAATGAAAATAATGAGTCTGATATTTTATAGCCTAGAATGCGTATTATTCCAGAACTGTTGGTTCTCGTAATATGAAAGAAGATAAAACAGACCTATAAAATAGGCTATGGAAGTCGAACTCTGGATGGATGAAAAAAGAGTGGCTAGAATATTGACGTTTGAGAGGAAGGTTTACATTTCCACTGGTCCCAGAGAAGGGAGGATCTCGGTCTGGTTTAGAGGAATAATGGACTTACTGTCATGTTCATTTGTTTGTGTATTTACCCCTGAATGTGTAAAGTCAAAACTGGACTTGATGTCTAAATACAACAGATTGCCACAGGGTTGTCATGGTGATTATTGGGGTACATTACATCAATGACAGTGCACAGGCCTCCCAGTACACCCATACCTAAATAGGCCTACAATGAGATTATCACTATTCAATTCATTGTAGTGTGTTTATAGTTTCTAGCTATTTTAGAGCTTACGTATAACGTTGTAATTACACATGACTTGTACGTTCTATTTACTGGTAGGCCTACATTACAACATTGGAGAAAGACAGGATTTCAATTGAAAACTTGTCGCTGTGAGAACCCGTTTGTTTGACAAAAATACTCTTTGTTAGATAAGAAGCTCGTGCTTCATGGACAACAGGAGGGAGATGTGGTCTGAGTGATATAATACGTTCCCAGATCTGGGGTCACCGAGTGTTTTCATCCGAGCGCAGGAGGGGATCCCTCGGTATTGCCAGGGCCCATTGTGTCACAGCCACGGGCACGAACCTCTTGTCAATTTTGCTTTAGTCCAGACAACAAGAGCGCCAGAGCGCACGGAACTATCCACCAATTAAGAGGTGTTCTCTTTTATTTACTTCGTTTGATTTCATGCGTACCGCAAATTGTTTCAAAATACGACATTAGTAGAATAGCTGTTTAATGGCTTGAACATTTTTCATGGGAATGCTCTGGTTATTATTCCCCCCCCTACAGCAGAGCAGGAACAATATTTATCTTGTTTTGGCCCATAATAGTAGGACAATTGCACATGCACAACAATGGGTGTTACATGCTATTTTGCACTTACATGAATCGCTCAGTGGATGCTCTTTCAGATTGTTTCACAGCTCATAAGTAAAACGAAATCGAATTATCTAACATTCTTATTTTTCACACGATGTTTAAAAAACGTCACTCGGCGTTTTATGCGTGAGTGATTAAACTTTCCCAGCTGAAGAAACTGAAACAGGTGTGAACGATTCATTCAACAAGTTTCCCTCCATCCATACACACCATTAAATAAGACCAGAAGCTGAACTTCTGAACTGGGTAGAAATAAAGATGTGATGTGTCTTGAATCTCAGTGTAAATCGGGTTTATTCAAAGTGACAAGCGGAAAATGTCTCAGTCTCACCTACGGCTTTCATACAGTTGAGGAGGCATGAGCTAATGATCACAGAGGAAACTTCAGTAACAGGCTGTGCCATCATTGTTGTAGCCTATTATGTGAATGGGGTTTTTTTTTTTCCATTCAATATAAAATATTATTGATCAATTTAGGAACTGTATGGAAGTTAGGCCTACTGGAACAAACTGTATTGCGAGTCTGAGATGGAATATCTGGCTGACTCTCTGCAAAGTGCCATGAATGGAATGGATGAGGCTGGAGGGAGGGAGGGGTGTACACGGCGGGGTAAAGGATTAATTCCAACCTCGATTAAACCTGAAATACCTCTGGTAAATAATTGTCAGTCCCATTATAAATGCATTGGATCATCTTTAGCTAAAAAAAAAACGTCATTTAATACTGTTTGGTATTGTAAGGAGTCAGAGAACATGTTCCCCCACACCATTTCAACTCCAGCGTATCAAATCCCACAGATGCATTACTGTTTTAAACGTCAACTTAAAATGTTATGTTAAAGTAACCTAAAATGTTCATTATAATTAAGAGCCATACGTTCATATCTTCACGTTAATAATTTCAAGATTTTAGTGCGTATAAGTAAAATGGAATCGTGCTAAAACATGAAACAGAGCGCTGGTTTATTGCAGAGTTGAGTATTATGGCGGATAAATGTGAGACAATCAAGGATTTCAGATATTACATTTATTCAAATGTTGACAATGGGCTTAAATAAAATTATACACACAATTCATTCTACAAAAATACACAAAGTGGTCTGCAAAGAGGGCTACTATATAGGCTACACATAAAACATATATCTGCAGAAGAAGTCCGTTCTATAAAAATACACGCTCTTCTGAAAGGCACAGTGAGGTCATCATGCAGCTACATAAGGTCTATATAAAGGAAACGGAAGGAACGGTAAATGTTTATTCCAAGGCAAGACCATTCCAGGGCACCACTTTGTGCATAAAAAGTTGGTTTCAATTATGTTCTAAAATGCTAGGTCGGACGTAGTTTCGACCCACTTGAATCCAATTAAAAAATCACGAGAAAGCATATTTATGACATTGCCATTACACGTTCTTATTATGGAATGTATAACGTGAATAACAATCACGGTACTTGATGTACTCACTGAGTACTTTATACAAGTATGCCAACGAGTTGTACAACATTATCTACATACATCTGACATAATTATGACTAGGCGTATGGCCTACACCTCGGTTCCTTCGCGGCTGTATAACAAATTATTAACACTGAAGTGGTTTGAGGGAGAGTTGGTGAGGCCCATGCCTCCGCTGTGACTGTTCTGTGCTGATGTGTAGTAGTTCATTCTATTGGCTGTGGAGAGGTGAGTGGTATCAGAGTTCAGTGGCGTGATCTGAGAGGGCGAGTATGCACCAAGTCCGGACATGTTCTCTCGGGTCTGATGAGGCGACAAATCCCCCATAACATGTCCTCCTGAACCAAAGTCTCCCCTGCCCCCCCGGATAGAGCCGTTGTTGCTCCCCGCCAGCATCGAGTTCATAGTGGAGACAAAGTTGTTGTAACAGGGACTGTGTTCCACAGACGGGGATGGGGATGATTTGGGCTCGGAGGAGCCAGGGGAGTTCTGGAGGCTGGGAGGGGATGAACTCATGATGCTGGCCGTGTCGGAGAGCTTCAGGGCGGCTGTGTCTTCTGACTTCACCGGAAGAACAGTGTTGTTGGTGTCTCCTCCGTTCAAGTCAGCTCGCCTCTTTCTCTTCCTTCTGAAGTTGCCGTTATCGAACATTTTCTCACAGTTTGGGTCCAATGTCCAGTAGTTTCCCTTCCCTATGAACACATTAAGACAGGACACATCAGACAATGTAGGCCTAAACAAGATATATATAAGGTCATTATTGCTCTAGTCTACTGACAGACAAGTCCTACAAATCAAATGGCAAGGGTATGACATTCAAAACGACACATTTAATAGGTGCAAATAATGACGAGTTATTTAAAAGTACAACAGGTATTGTAACTTACCAGGGTCATCGTCATCCCGGGCAACTTTCTTAAAACAGTCATTCAGTGACAGGTTGTGTCTGATTGAGTTCTGCCACCCAGCTTTGCTCTTCTTATAAAACGGGAAAATTCTCTGCCACATACTGATAGATGTGACTCAGCGTCAACCTCTTGTCCCCGGCGCCCTGGATAGCCATGGCAATCAGCGCTGAGTAGGAGTAAGGAGGTCTAACCATCTTGAAGAGTTCCTGCTGGCTGGAGATTGAGAGCCATCCGAGGTCAGCTCCACCAAACCCCGTGGGAGGGGGCAGGAACTGCCGCTGGTTCGCTCCGTATCCAGACTGTATGTACGATGCTCCATTCGATCCCGTCAGGTATGGAGACGAGTTGATGCTTGGGCCGTTTAGCCACAGGTACGGGTTGGTGTTCGGCGAGGTGTACTCCCCGAGGCCGTAGCTTGGAGGATGAGCCGGCGGCCTCTGCGGGTGGTGACTGTGATGGAGGTTTTGCTGGTGCTGGTACATGCTGCCAAAGTTATCGCAGTACACGGCCATGTCCAGGAGCTCCTGTGCGCTGTGGTGCTGGATGGGGCTGGTCTGCGCGTTGGATTGCTGCTGTCCAAAAGCCTTCATAATCCGTTCTAATTGAGTACGAATCCTAGTTTCTTCCTCTATCATCAAGAACGTGCGGTTCCTTTCCCAACCGTCTGTTTCCGTCAGTCTCTCCCGGAGGACTAAAGCTGGACCCGGGGGAGGAGGCGTATTTAAGTGCTCCGCCTGGAGCGTCGGCAGGTAAACCCTGTGAAAGGAACTGTCTAGAGGGTGACTCCCCGTTTCTGTCACGCTTCAGTCGAATTGTCTTAACCGAATCTGTGCATCAATGGGGAGAGATCCTGGTGCGAGATAGCCCGCTCATTAATGCAGTTTTTGGAGTTAACCTGGAGTAAGTTAGGCTAAGTAATTTACCGCGCTTACGCAATTAAAACAGGTGTTTAGGCTACAAGTTATCCAATAAAACGGTTTTACAATTGGCCAACCATATTTGCACTTTTACGCACGGACACTTTTACAAATATATATATATATCTTAAATAATAGTTTTCTGAATAGACCTTCATAATTTCCATACAAAAAAAACGAATTGAAACAAATATTTTATATATATTTTTTAATCAATTGTTTCTGTCAAATATAAGTTCTCAATTTAAGTAGCCTTTGATTTTGGTGAACAGATGGCTACACTCTTAGAACCAACAGTTTGGTTCAGTGAAGAAGAACATCTAACCATATTGGGGTTATGATCAAAGAACCCTACAAAAGGGTTATTCTATATAGAACCTTTAGGTGTGTTAAATATGAAGCAAGCAATAGAACCCATTTTTCTATGAGTGTTAGGGTAAAAAAAACAATGTGATTATTTTAAGGTTTAACAAGCACTCCTGGCTTCCACGCATGACAAAGTAAAACATAAACGAAGTTAGGCTGTAAAAACAACATATAGGCTATGTGTTTAGACCCCACGATCTCTGGAACGAATTAGTTTGCAATAAACATGGCTTAATAAGTGTTAAAAGTATGACAAGGCACCTGATAATATGATGGTTTCCCGCGTCGCTGGAGATAATATGATTTTCCGCGCGTCGCTGGACCACCTGCTCCTCTGGTATACCCGGGTCATATCATTTTAGTCATTATTTTATTCGGTGGGTTATTAAGATGTTTAATTGTGTAATTAAAATAACTTTGTCAAACACGCTTATTCCCCCCCAAAAAATTAAGAGGCCAAAATTTAAGCTATGAAATGTAGACTAGGTCTATATAGGCCGCAGTAGACAGAAGGATTTAAGAGTTTAATAAGTTGCATTTAAATAGAAAAACGCATTCTATTTGAGAAATGTTTTATATTAAATTCATTATCCAACACTATTTTTTTATTTTTAGGTTAGAAAATCTACCGGTAGGCCTATATCAGTCCAACAAACTTTGTTTGAACGCATTTCATCAAAATCACAGACACGTTTGCAGAAACGTTCAGATATCAATGGACAATAAATATTTGCCCCCCCCCCCAAAAAAATACATTATTGCCAACAGAGGACGAGCTCTAATGACAATTTAAAATAACATAGGCCATTATTTTATTTTTTATTGATGAAGCACACGAGTAAAATGACCAGCCTACAATGCAATAAAACAAATTCAGGAACACCAAGGGATAAAAGTAGACCAAATGACCTGTTTGTCAACTGAAGAAAATATTCCACTTTTTATTATTGTTAATGTTAAATTATAATTAATGATGTAGTAAAATAATACGGGACAGTGACTTAGCTTGGACGAGTTAAAAGATCCGTGTTTGGTGTACATTTTGCAATAGGCTATTTAGTTATTTGGTGAGTTATTGTGAGCGCTGTAGTGTAGGATTGGCCTCCCCCGTTCAGGGTATACTCCTAAACGTCCTAAAAGTTCCATACGAATAAAGGGTGTTTTTTCATTTCCAAAATGTACATTGTAACACTTTATTTGTGCAAAGTAGGATTTGGCTGCAATTCAAAAAAAGGTTTCTAAAAGTTGTCCATGGCCTGCTTCGTGTTGTTTTCAAATGCTGCCACCCTCTGGTCTCTTTCGATAGAGACAGAAACTGACTAGATATACCGATACTGTCCAACCACCACTGGAACAGTTTCAGTTCAAGAATCTGTGCACACCCTGACCGGCTCACTTGAATATTATTTACAACTGAATAGGTTGCAGAGGGTCCTAATCTGGGATTTTCAATTGGATGGCCTCTTAGACTGGGACTAGGTGAATTAGCCTACATAATGGCCAGCATTTGACCTCCGTTTGTTTTGATACCACATAATAAACGGTTACGATAATAAACGGTATCATATTATGTGCAAGGATCATAAATGGCTTCAAATGTGCCATATAGATATTGAGTGCTAAGTAGGCCCGTGCATCAGTTCAGTCAGTTTTTCTCCTTAAGACTATTTCCTGCAAGAGCTGTAAGACTCTGCAGGTTTCTGGACTGGAGCTCCATCACACCATTATGATGCATTTGTCTCCTCTAATTTACACAATGTTGTATATATAAACAATTTTAGTTGTTTCAACTAATTATTATGGTGGCATAGCAGTTAGATCAGAATGCCGTGAACCAAAAGGTTGTGAGTTCAAATCCCAGGTGAGGACATGTTGAATAATAATTACAGTGTAAATGAACATGCACAATGTAATGGTCAACATGTGTCAGATATGTCAGTTGAAAACATTGTATGTCAAAAGCACTGTATGAGTGTAACTAGTTCCACCGCCTTTTTTAGTTAAGATGCACAAATAATCATTTCTAATTGAATGAACATGTGAGACAAGTTGAGAAAACACATCATTTTAAGTTGACTGAATTTTTTGCCTGAAGTTTTCTCAAGTTGGAGCGAAGTTTGGGACAACAAAAAAAAAATGAAGTTCAGGTAACACTTTGACTGAAAAGTTGAGTAAACTAAACAAGGCTGTGGAACCAGTTACTTAATAATAATTAGTTGAAACAACTGTCATTTTTTTTGACAGTGTAGATGAAACGCAAGCATAAAGGACCATATAATCTGTGCCATGTTGTAGGCCTAGCTATAGAGTGGAGCAGTTCTGCTCAGTTTTCCACTCAAGCTCTGCAGGTTGCTGGACGGAAGAGGAAACATCATGCATTTGTCTCCTCTAAACTAATCTAATCTAAACTAATCACAGAACATTCCTGTTCTCCATGACCTGGTGGTAATCGTGTGGCTCTGAGGTGTTGTCCATGCTGACCACCACACCGCTAGATCACAGGCTGCTCTGATCGGTAGGGCCTAGACAAGGGGAAGAGGACTGTAGGGACCCTAACCTCAGTGTGTAAGGCCTAGCCAAGGGAAGAGGACTGTAGGGACCATAACCTCAGTGTGTAAGGCCTAGACAAGGGAAGAGGACTGTAGGGACCCTAACCTCAGTGTGTAGGGCCTAGCCAAGGGAAGAGGACTGTAGGGACCCTAACCTCAGTGTGTAAGGCCTAGACAAGGGAAAGAGGACTGTAGGGACCCTAACCTCAGTGTGTAAGGCCTAGACAAGGGAAGAGGACTGTAGTCCCCCTAACCTCAGTGTGTAGGGCCTAGACAAGGGAAGAGGACTGTAGGGACCCTAACCTCAGTGTGTAAGGCCTAGACAAGGGGAAGAGGACTGTAGGGACCCTAACCTCAGTGTGTAAGGCCTAGACAAGGGAAAGAGGACTGTAGGGACCCTAACCTCAGTGTGTAAGGCCTAGACAAGGGAAGAGGACTGTAGGGACCCTAACCTCAGTGTGTAAGGCCTAGACAAGGGAAGAGGACTGTAGGGACCCTAACCTCAGTGTGCAGGGCCTAGACAAGGGAAGAGGACTGTAGGGACCCTAACATCAGTGTGTAGGGCCTAGACAAGGGAAGAGGACTGTAGGGACCCTAACCTCAGTGTGCAGGGCCTAGACAAGGGAAGAGGACTGTAGGGACCCTAACATCAGTGTGTAGGGCCTAGCCAAGGGAAGAGGACTGTAGGGACCCTAACCTCAGTGTGTAGGGCCTAGCCACAGGAAGAGGACTGTAGGGACCCTAACCTCAGTGTGTAAGGCCTAGACAAGGGAAAGAGGACTGTAGGGACCCTAACCTCAGTGTGTAGGGCCTAGCCAGGGGAAGAGGACTGTAGGGACCCTAACCTCAGTGTGTAAGGCCTAGCCAAGGGAAGAGGACTGTAGGGACCCTAACCTCAGTGTGTAGGGCCTAGTCAGGGGAAGAGGACTGTAGGGACCCTAACCTCAGTGTGTAAGGCCTAGCCAGGGGAAGAGGACTGTAGGGACCCTAACCTCAGTGTGTAAGGCCTAGACAAGGGAAGAGGACTGTAGGGACCCTAACCTCAGTGTGCAGGGCCTAGACAAGGGAAGAGGACTGTAGGGACCCTAACCTGTGTGTAGGGCCTAGACAAGGGAAGAGGACTGTAGGGACCCTAACCTCAGTGTGTAGGGCCTAGACAAGGGAAGAGGACTGTAGGGACCCTAACCTCAGTGTGTAAGGCCTAGCCAAGGGAAGAGGACTGTAGGGACCCTAACCTCAGTGTGTAAGGCCTATAATATAATATGCCATTTAGCAGACGCTTTTATCCAAAGCAACCTACAGCCATGCGTGCATACATGTTTTAATTTTTTTGTGTATGGGTGGTCCCGGGGATCGAACCCACTACCTTAGCGTTACCAGCGCCATGCTCTACCAGCTGAGGTACAGAGGACACGGGAAGAGAACCGTAGGGACCCTAACCTCGGTGTGAAAGCCCTAGCCAGGGGAAACACCATTTAGCCCCCCACAGGAATACGACATGGAAAGTGTTTCACACACTAAGCCAAGCTAATTACTGGTGACTCTAAAGGGCCATAATTCACATTATTGACTGGAAATTGTTCCATCTTGATCAACTTGAGAGTTCTGCTCTCTCAGGGGTGCTAATGTCATTAAAACATTGTAATATAATTGTATTATGAAAGCATTTGACCTTTCAAGGGTCATGCCTGTACTTGTCCCTGAGTCCAACTTCAACAAGTTTACCATTTAAAAAAGCACTTGCACATCTGAGTTATCAAGTTGCAATAATGTGGTTATAGAAAAGAGAAACCAACACGCTGCTCTCGCTCCTATAACTTCCAGTGGTTATAGAAAAGAGAAACCAACACACTGCTCTCGCTCCTATAACTTCCAGTAATATACCTGAACCACGGTTTCTCCCTGATGTGCTGCTCAGACAGA